TTTTTTTGTATACATTTTTCTGATGAGGAGGGGGGGGGGGTGTACATATATATATATACAAATACATAACAAGACACACAGAAGAAGAAGAAGAAGAAGAAAGGAGAAAGTTTTTTATTATTGAAATGGAATGCAAGCAATGTTTGCCAACAAATTTATGTTTCATTTGTACATACATATATTAAATAAATATATTATAAAAGAAGCAAATGCTTTTAGTAAAAAAAAGTTCATCTTTTTCTCGTTCTCACTTCCATAAGTACCTACAAAAAAAATGTGTTTCTATCCTTATCACACCCATGCACACAAATACATAAATTTTAAATAAACATAAAATCGAAGCATTTAGGAAAAGCTGATAAAATATTTCTTATGTGGGTGTTGAAATGCCATCAATTTATTTTTTAAGGAAGATTGTCTTGTGTCATGATATTTATGCTCACTCTTACTCTATCGATACGCAAATAAATAAATAAAATAAAATACATAAATATAAGAAATTGTTATTTGCTTGTTGATATTTTCAAAATCCTATAATGATATACACTTGACTTTGCATTTTTATTGAATCATGAGGCATTTGCTATAATGCCACTTTAATGTCGTTTTGGGAGCAAAGTAGAAGATTTGGTGGATGAAATTGAAATTTTGTGCAATAAAGAAAGAATTAATGTGTTGCGGGGAACTTTTGAATTAATAGTTATAAGGATTTGAACCTAGAATTTTTTAAGTTTATGAACAAATTTTCATTTTGACTATGAAAGATAATTGGGAAAATGCTTATTATTAATTCATAGATTTGTAAGTTAAGAGAATCCATTCTGGAAGTTTTCTAAGCTACTTCAGAGCACTTCGCTGGCCTTACTGATCAATAATTACCCATGCCCTTCATTAGATACCGTTTGAAGCTGGCTCTATCGCTGGCTTCTGCTTGCCAATTCACAATACCAAGTGCAATACTGTTTCTATCAAAAACTTACTTCCAAGAGCTTTTAGGCTATTTACTATTCTAGGATTTATATGGCTACGGGTTTGCTAGCAAAACTTCCTATAAATTAAATCAAATTCAATGACTTTATGACCTTTAAATTGCCACAATCTGAAAATTTAAATAAAAATTCCAATTCAACCTCCCAAAAAGTCCACAAAATAACGAATAAAAATACTATAAACTTAAAAAAATATTTAATATCAACAACAACCAGTAACTAGTCATCTCCTCCATACACATAAGTACCCATAAGAATGTGCCATAAAAAAAATCTGTTAAGCATGAATCTATTCTTCTGTGAATAGTGCAAATAAACCTTTTTTACTCATTTTCCACAATCCACACACATTCACACGATTATCAGCATTTTCATTTTGAATTTTTGTATGTACAGCCAAATAAAATATAAAAATGCTCAGTTAAGAGTGGTTTCTGTCTATATTGAACAATTCCTTGATTGATTGCTCAATTATTTTGCCTACATTTCCACTTACTCAGTCGATTCTACATAAAGGCAATTCAATGGAAATGGAAAGAAGAAAAATCAATAGATCGATAAATACACAATTTTTGCCAATCTTTAGCCCGAAAATTTTACTCCTTATTCAGTCTTTATTCTTATTCTTCCACAGACACACAACAACAAAAAAAAAAAACTCTTTCGGTTAGCAACTAGTGGAATAAATAAAATAAAAACTTTTTTTATGTTATGACTATGTCTTGTTTCCACTATACAATACCCCATGTATGATATGGATGAAGAAGAGGAAAGAAAAAAATATAAAAAAAAATATAGGAATAAAAGGAGAAAAAGCCACAATCCTATAAAAATTTTCTGCCATTTCAATGTATGATTTTTTTTCTTCTATTCAACAACAATATTATACAAATTTAGCAGAGATTTGTGTGAGAAAAATGGTGGATTGGGGGTCATTTTGGGTGGGTCGTTTGTTTTTTGTGAGCTTTGAAGTTATTTTACATCCATTCTAAGCATTTTATATTGACATACACTCAAAATAGTGTATTATATTAAAGTTGAAAATTTAACGGTCAAAATATATTCAAAAAATTTACAGCAAATTTACAAAAATTTTTCAAAATTCTTAAAAACCGTTAAAATTTAAACTTTGACAATTCTGACAAAATTTTAATTCCACTCAAATTGAAATCCTGACAATGCTCAAAAATATTCAATTTCTAAAAAACCGTTAAAATTAAAATTTGACAAAATTTTAATTCCATTTAAATTGAAATCCTGACAATGCTTAAAAAACTTTCAAATTACAAAAAACCGTTAAAAAGTAAGCTTTGCTTAAAGAATGCGCTTAATCCCCAACATCTTCCCAAAAAAGCTCTCCCAACGACCACTTCCTCCTCTTATCCATTCAGCTTGATATTGGCTTGACTATACTACTTGTTGTTGTTGCCGCTTGCCACTATTGTATGTAATATAAATATGTATATTAGATGGAGAGGGGTTCCGTCATGGAGAAGTTACGAAAGTTCCTTTTTACAGTTCGTCACCCATTCTTTTTAAGAATAAAAAAAAGGCAAAAAAAGTATGTGCGTATAAAAATATACATAAGAAAAGAATGAGAGATGGATGGGTGGATATATACACACACTTTACAGCCACTATGATAAAGTAAAGTCTAAGTAAGTGTATGACAATGGAGGGGTTGGATGGCATTTTAACGCAACAATCGAAACATTTTCCTTCTTCGTGCGGATTAAAGCTTATAAAGCAAGTTTTGCGTCCTTTTTTCTCACTTATGATATATGTCATTTCTCGACTATTGTTGCGCTTGTTGAACATAATTTTTGTCACTGTCTCTGGCTTTCCCATAACTACTTTCTGATACTGTTGCTTTATTTATTTATTTATTTGTATATGCGACATGACAAAAAAAAAATAAAGAAAGGATAAATGTCTCTATAGATGAAGAAAAGATTTTTTTTATGCCACCCACACTCAACCTACTTTCTTTCATATCTGTGAATGTATTGTTGTTTCTTCCTTACTTACATACAGAAAGACAAAGACAGATGAAAACGAGTGTTCTATTATGATATTTATTGTTCTTTATTATTATCATTATTACTTCAATTCATTCTAGTTATCTCTCTTGAAATAAAAGAAAGAAAGTAAAATAAAAGAAAAGAATGCGAAAAATTGTATGAGTGAAATGAGAAGCAATTCCAAGCAAGCCAAGTGGAGATGATGAGGGAAGGTATACATAGTTTAAGATGTGAAATAAAATAACAACAAGCTTCGTTCTATTGTTCTTAGTTTATGTCTGTTCTCATTGCTTAATTCAACATATACTTGCTGGTGGTGAGGGGTTTGGGTTTAAACGAGAATGAGCTGGTGTTTTAAGATGGTTGGGTGGTTGGTTGGCTGGTTTGATTGTAAAATTGTAAAGAGAATTTTGAGGTTATGTTACTGGTTTTTAGGTTAAGTTATTGATTTTAAGGTTTCGTTTATGATTTTAAGGTTAAGTTACTTACTTTGAGGTTATGTTACTTATTTTGAGGTTATGTTGCTTAATTTGGGGTTATGTAACTTACTTTGAGGTTATGTTACTTACTTTGAGGTTATGCTACTTACTTTGAGGTTATGCTACTTACTTTGAGGTTATGCTACTCACTTTAGGGTTAAGTTACTTACTTTGGGGTTATGTTGCTTACTTTGAGGTTATGCTACTTACTTTGAGGTTATGCTACTTATTTTGAGGTTATGTTATTTACTTTAAGGTTATGTTCCTTACTTTGAGGTTATATTATTGATTTTAAGGGTATATTGTTCCTTTCTAAAAACGGAGCACCTTTAAATGTACTTTAAAATATCAAACCTCCTTAAAATCACTCAACGCTGTCAATACATGCAAAAAATCACCTGTTCTACGCTTAAACTCATTCTACAGTCTTCAAAAAAAACCTACAATTTGACAACAACAAAAAAAGTAAATAATGAGTACAAAGAAATAGTGAGAGAAAAAAAAACTTCAAGTGGGTGCTGTCGTTATTGCCACAAGTACGGGAAAAAATTCACTGCATTCTTTTACTCGTCTTCTTATTCATCTTCATCAACGCTATTTTCATTTCCATTTCTCTTATTCCACTTGTTCTTTGCTGTTTATTTTTATGGGTGTAATGATGATAAGTGCGATATGGAAAGAGAAATAGAGCGTCTCACACCATACATCTTTTATTCTTTATTTCCTCAACATGTATACATAAAAATAAAACTTTTTCACCCATTTCTGAACCCATTACTGCTCTTGTTGTGATGTTGTCGAAATAAATTTACGTTTGAGTTGAAAGTATAAATAAGTTCATTATTGTTCTTTTAAAGACTAATTTTTCATGATTTTTTTTGTTGTTGCTTAACTTGCTCGTTTAACTTGCCAAAGTGACGTTAAAATTGCTGTTTTTTCATCCTTGATGACTGGAGTGGAGCTAGGGGTCTTATGATTTTTTTGTTTGCAGTAGCTACTACTAGCTACACTAATAGATACTTTACTAGCTGTATTATTAGCTTTCTTACTAGATACTAGCTATCTTAAAAGCTACTTGCTATATTACTAGTGACACTCCTAGTTACCCCTTGCTTGGTACCACTACTGCTCATTCCTTCTATTCGTTGCAAGAGTATGAGAAGTTGATCATCAAGATTGTAAATTGTTGCTCCTTTTTATTTCATCTCTAGTTTACTACAACTGTCGTTGTAATTAAGGAATTAAAAATTAATTGTTTTGTCAACAAAATTAACTTCTAGTAGAGATGGATTTAGAGTTAATATGAATGATAATGGAGAAAGTAATTTGCAACGTAATGAAAACTATTTGTCTTAATGTCTGGGATTTCTTATGTTGACTTTACCTTTTTAAAAATTAAAGACATCATTAAGGACACTCATTTGAACTCTTTTACAAAATAATTTTTCATTTCTCATTCTGCTCACTTACACTAACCCCCTGTTTTCTCATTGTTTTTTCTGATTCTACAGGATATGGACATGAAATTCCCTCAATACACTTCACAGCCTACTTACCAAGAATGGAACAAGAGGTAACTATCGTTACGTCATCTCAAGGAACGCATTATGTAGCAACACCACACCAGTCATCACCAAATGGTGAATCGACAACGTCATCCTCTTCATCATCATCATCATCGTCACCAACAGCCCAAAATCAGCCACAAAGAAAATCGTTAGCAATGTGCTTTACGAGTACTGGTGCCGCATTGTCATTGCCACCCAAAAAGAAAGACATTTATCGTCCATATTCGCTGGATGATAGGCCATCAAGTCAATCAAGTCATTTACAGTCATCACATCCGCCACGTTACGAATTGAGAATACCTGCTGAAGAAGATTTACATGCCGCACATGCAATATTAGATCTAAGTGCATCAACAGCATTCCTACCACCAATACAATCGCCGACATCTTCTTTATCATCGTCATCGTCCCATCACAATGTGAATGGCAATAACAATAATAATAATAACAATAATAATAATAATAATAATAATACTAGTTGTAGAGATAGCAATAATTCTAATAGTGAAAATCATGTACAAAAATCAAATAACAGCATAACAATTATATTGTCAAAATCAGATGATCGATTACAGTCATTTAATGGAATTAAGCATCAACAGCAACAACAGCAGCAGCAACAGCATTCACATAAAGTTGGTGATGTACACATACAGAATGAGAATGATAATAATTCAAGTGTTAACATAAAGAATAATAATCAAAATCAATTGGAAACAATACGAATTCCACCCGGTGCTTTAACACCGACCGGTGGACGTACAGTGGCATATACATACGAGGCATTTTTCGTCAGCGATGGACGATCAAAAAGGAAAATAAATGGTGGCGATATTGTGGTGACTGAGAGTAAGGCAAAGTATACATGCACAGAATGTGGTAAACAATATGCGACATCAAGTAACCTGTCACGTCACAAGCAGACACATCGAAGTCTCGACTCACAGTCAGCAAAAAAGTGTCATACATGCGGAAAGGCATACGTCTCAATGCCAGCATTAGCAATGCACGTCTTAACACATAAGTTATCGCACAGTTGTGGGGTTTGTGGAAAGCTTTTTTCACGACCGTGGCTACTGCAAGGTCATTTGAGATCACATACAGGCGAGAAGCCATACGGTTGTGCACATTGTGGAAAGGCATTCGCTGATCGGAGCAATTTACGAGCACATATGCAAACACACTCATCTGATAAGAATTTTGAATGTGCTCGATGTCACAAGACATTCGCACTAAAGTCATATTTGAACAAACATTTGGAATCGGCATGCTTTAAGGATGATCCGGCAGCATTAGAGGCATTAAATTTTAACTGTAATAGCAATTGTAGTTTAACTAGTGATTGTAGTGATAAATTTTCGAAAAGTAACAGCAATACAGCAACAGCAACGAATAATAATAATAATAACAATAATAATGTGATGATAACATCGTTCATTGGAGCGACACAAGCACAACAACAAGCAACAGCTGGACTTACAACGATTCAGCACACGTCTATAAATAATAATAACAATAATACTCTTAATATAAGCACAAGCAATACTCTACATTCCTCATTATCGAAACTCAATCCTGCAACAGTCCAATTAGCAGCTGTCAATTTTGCTGGGTAACCGTAGTAGCTGTTTTATTAACAATGAATATAAACACAAAAAAAAATCTTTAACTATTTTACTTAAATTTAACACTAATATATAAACCTATTACTAAGTAATGACAACAAGAAGAGAAATTAACAATTTAAAGAAAAAAACAATTCTCACATTTTTCCCTCCTTTTTAATTAATTAATTAACCATTAATTCCATTAATTAATAATTGAGCATTTTAAAAGTAAAAATTTACTAAGAAAATTTCTCTTTAAAAAATAATAATAATGCAAGGAAATTAAAGAGAACTTTCTTTTCCCATTAATTAACATAGAAAATTAACGAAAAAAAAGAAAGAAAAAAAAATATAATGAAAATTTTTTCTATATACCTAGTGACTTCTACTAATGTATTTTTAGAATATGACAAAAAAATGAAAAAAAAAAAGATTTTTTGAGAAGATGGAAAGATTTTTGAAAATTGAGAGGAATAGAATCTAGAAGAAAAAAGGGATAAAGATCTTGGTTGTGGCTAATGGACTTACGGTTCAGTTTATGATCTTACAAAGACTTAATCTTCAGCATGAAAACCTTTTTTGATCTCAACTAAGGTTTGTAAGGTTCAAATTTAGTTCCTAGACCAGTGTTGTCAAAACTGTGTGCCACGGCACACTAGTGTGCCGTACAAAATGTTGGGAAATGATGAGAGTCGTATGCTTTGTCTGACTTTGCTCATGGCTTACCTCTAAAGTGTGCCGTGGCTCAAAAAAGTTTTGACAACACTGTTCTAAACTCTAAACTAAGTTTTTGAGCTTAGTTTTGGGGTTTGAGATATTAATTTGAGATCTTTGAAGTTTAATGACTTTTTCAAAGCTTAGTTTAAGAAGATTAGAGTTCAATTAAAGCTTCAATGATCTACAGGAACCTGTGACGTCCACTGGAGCTTTAATATGACCCAATGGGCTTTATTTGAAATCTCGTAAACAGAGCTAGGAGTCGATGAAATTTTGGATAGAGTTGAGTTGACTCCGCCTTACAAAATCGATGAAAATCTCGAGCCGACTTCGAGCTTTGATCGTAAATATGAAAAAAAGATCTTATATACTTGTTTTGGATCTTATAAAAGCCCAATTATACTTGTTTTGACATCATTAGCATAAAGATCAATAAATGACTCCAATGGAGTCTCAAAACCCAAAACAAATCACAATCTCAGTCCATAACACAAACCAATTCAAATCTACTCCCAATTGATTAGCAATAATTCTCCTCAAACTACCAAAATCATTGAATAATAAATTAAAACACTCAAGCCAAACAACCTTCTCACCCAGACAAGTCTGAAATTCTTGAAGAATGGTAAAACATTCTCCAAAAAAAAAAAACTTTCCAATCACTGAATTACAAATTGCTAATGAAATTTTAAAAATTAATTCCATAGAATCATGGCGAAGTTTATAATTTAATCAAGAATGGAAAACTTCAGACTCTGAAATCATTTCCATTAATTTAAGTTAATGAATTTTCACAAACTACAGACAAATTCCTCTCTTTAAAATATTTTTAAGGATCTTTCCTTCTGTCTCATGAAATTTTTCTTTGCTCCTAAACTTAAACTAAACTAACCAAAAGAATGAAAAATTTCGCATTTTTAGACAAAACCAGAACACACAAAAAAAAAACTTTTACTTCTCTTCTTTCCTTTCCCTTCTTTCTTTCTATCACTTGTTCTCTTCTGTTCTATCCCATCTTTAATGTTTCATTGTTTCTTGAATCTTTAACTGAAATGATAAACGCTTTGACATCGAAACTTGGTGATTGTAAATTACTTTCATTTTAAATTTTCGCATGACATGACTTGACTTATGCATTAATAAGAAGAAAAAATGCTAATTGTATACTCACCCGAAAAAAATATATAATATTAAATGCACATGTACAGCCTATAAAAAATATTTATTACATAGTTCGGTACGAATGCCTATGAAAAAATTAATTATAGTAAGGACATTTTATTTACGTTGTCCCGAGTAATAATTTGAGTCTATCGAGAGGTAGCTTGGTGGGGTATACCCCTACCCCTGCTCCTCTTTTTTGGGGGTATGACATCAATAAGATGTCATTTTAGATCCCCTAATTAGGGGCAAGAGCAGAGGTATACCACGGACATTAACTACTCGGGTATTTACTTAAATTTAAATTTAAGGAAACAAATTCTCTTTATTTACGTGTAGAGATTTAAGTGAAGAGATTAGAAGCCCGTAAGCCTAATTAAGCGTACACACAGTGGTAGTAAAAGTAAATTTAAATAATATTTGTAGTAAGGTTTTTATATCAGAATACGTCCAACTTTTCGTGTTGATATGATATTAACCAGTTTTTATATTTTATTATGCAACAATCAATGATAATAGTGGTTTTAGTTACATACAAAATTGTGTGTATGACTACACATATTCACATTGTAACAGTACCTACTTGTCATTATCGACAGTTGATTGTTATGGTCGTTTGTGGATTACATTATCCATTCTACATATCTACTCCGGCCTCGGCATATTGCATGTAAAACTGATATATCATTTTCATACACCTAAAGAACTTATTTGTAATTATTATGATTTCAACTTGTTTGATTTACTCTTTGTGTCTGTGTGTATGATTTTATATATGATTGTGGTCATTCTCACCTTCATGATTGACTTCAATGTTATGGAAGGTGAAAATGGAAAGTGAATGAAAATGATTGAGTCATAAAGAGAGCAAATTAGTTTGGAATGTCCAGAAAAATCCTCTTTGATATTAATAACTAAACCTATTTTTAAGTTTGAATATAAAATTCCCTAAACGCAGAGAAATTATTGTACTATAAAAGTCAATTATGTACTTACTTACTATTACTTAAGATATTTCTTATGATGAAAAACTTGTGAATCTAGTCCTAGAATTAATTAATATTTATTTTAATTTTAAGGTGGGAGTGGAAATTGAGGTTGAAAGGGATGCAATGGAATTATCAGTTGAAAAAAGATTTAAATGTTGACTTGTATAGACTAAGGAGTAGGTTCCTGTAGAATATACACCAAAAAGAGCCTACTAGCTTGTCGCTATTGCTGACTCGATGCAAGGTTGTGGAACTGATCAAACAAATTTTCATAAATTTTGATTTTCACCTCAGCCTTGTCCATAGTCCTGACAATACCACGAAAAAACAATTCGCCTGCTAGTTAGGCAACAGCAACAAGTTCAAAAACAATTGAAATTCCCATTCAATTCACCAATCTTCATTTCCATTGAACAATTAAAGAGATTCATTCTTGGAAATATTAATTGCAGCATCAATTAATTTCTCAAGGTTGAGCTCCTTAACTTACCGTACTAAGAAGGTGTTTGATGATTCTCATGAAATTTGCAATTGCTGTACAAATCCTAACAAATGCAATTGCTCTTAAAATTCTTAGAAACTCATGAGAGACTTCAAAAACTTCTCTAACTTTATCTAGCTACCTTTCTGTTATTTATTCCTTATACTTGAACATAAAATCTCTCTTGATTTCCACTTATCGAATCTTACGAACAAGTTCAAGCAACGAACGATGAACGTAAAGCAACGTTTCTCATACAACGAATTATAGAATAAAAATTGAAAATAACAAGCAAGAAAGTAGAATAGACAGAGATTTTTATAAAAACAAAAGATATAGGCATAAAGAGTACTTAATGAAGAAAGATTTTTTTTTATATATTCTAGTCATAGATGTAGAAAAGAATGATAATTTTTTTAAACAAAAGGATTGAAAAATCTTTTTTATATCCTAGTCAGTCAATTGTTTCATCCTAGTCAATTTCCTCTTGTCCTGAATATATTATATATTTATTATAAGTAAAAGAGATGATATTTGTAGTATTTAGCAGCTATCCAAAGATTATTCTATATTATAAGGGGTTGATGGGGTATATGGGTTGAGATTTTAGGGGTTTGAAGATTATTCGGTGACTTTTGAGTTTGATGATTAAATTTTTGACTTAACAAACTCAAAGTTTGCATCAAAATTCAACATAACCTCAAAAAATATCAACATAACCTCAAAAAAAATAAAACATAACCTCCAAAAAATATCAACATAACCTCAAAAAAAATTCAACATAACCTCAAAAAAATTCAACATAACCTAAAAAATCAACCTTAAACCCCCCAAAAACCTCCAAATCTAATTCCGTACTTAGACTCTTCAGTTCAGATAATTTGCAAATAGAACCAAATAAATTTTCAGTCCTAACGTCCACGTAGTTTAAGAGTATGAAACTTTTTTCAATCATTTTCATTCAATTAATACAAAATAAAAAAATCGACAACAACGAATTTTTTTTTAAAAAATAATATTTTTTCACAATTGTGTGAAAAAAAAAATCAACAGTAAATAAATTTTTAAGCTTGTTCAATTATCCTAAATTAAAAACAATTAGAAGTAAAAAAAAATATTATTTCTCATCAGTAAACATTCAGCCTATCTGAATTGAATATAAAAGAAGAAGTCTATTGGAAACTTTTATCCCCGTACCTATACTGAAAAAAAAAGATTATTTTTGTTATATTAAATTATTTAATTTTCGTGCATAGCCAAGCTGAAAGCGAAATAAAAAAATATTTTATTATTGAGATAAAAAAAAAAATTCTCTTCACGTTGCACACACGCTAAAAAAATAATTTTTTTATATAAATTTTATGCTGCCCCGTTTATTATCCGTTGCACGAGAGAGGAACAAAAAAATTACGTTTCGTGTTGTTTAATTGAACAAATGCAAATAAAGGAAAAAAAAAAAATGTTTCATCCAGACATATAATTTTTTTTGCTCACTCACATACACACATTGAGAAGGCTATGATTGTATCGTAGACACACATGGGAGAATTATTTTCATCCAGTCAAAGTCTATAGAGTCCAATCAATTGGTGGAAAAAATGCAGTTATGCAATTAATTAAAAAAATGACTGAAATTGCTCAACTGAAAAATACCAGAAAATTGCAATTGGGGTGGGAATTTTGGGGGTCTTGAGCGCAGCTTTTGAAGGCAAGCTAATCTGCCGTTAATCATTG